GTGTCATAAGATCACAGTGTAGCTATACTTTCGTTCAATAACTGTCAACTGTTACACCTGGGAGTTAAACATCTGTTAAGTTCTCAGGCCTAATAAAGACGCTTTCTCATCACCTTTCGACCTAGTATCGCGATTTTAACAATTCAACATTAGACAAGAACAACAAAGTGAGTCAGTCGTCCCCAGTTCTTCCATCGGATTACTTCTACATAATATCTGTGCTCCTTGGGATACTTCTTTGCTTGTAAATATCAAGAATCGCCTAATATCAAAGGAAAAGAACATTGGACTATTGGACTTAACACTACCTACCCGAACTTTCTGTCTTACCAACTGGATCCAGATCAAGATATCAAAAAAGGTATTTATTGCCACGCGTATGAATTGTAAACTCTCTCTCTCAAGAACACTCAGTTAACTTTACTATCAACATATTGTAAGATATGTATTCCCTATTACCCATTAAACATTTGATTTGTTATGTTAATCTAGTCTACGAAGGAATCACTTCCGGTGCTCTGTCTCTCCTTCTATCTCGACTCTGATCGCTCACACACACGACCGCTCACGCCAGAACGAAACGGTTTCTGTGTCTAGCCGTGAAGACACAGTAGTGTCAGTCCTGACAAAACCTGTCATTGCGATCTTCGCCGACGCGATGTCGACCCTTCGGTCACGTGGTGCCGAAGTATAGGGAGGCCCTTCGGCATTGTCACAACTATATATGAACTTCTGATGCAAACCAAAAGTCAAGTTACTTCAATTAAAAATTTTCCCTAAAAGAGTGAGATAGATGACTGGCATGACTATTGCTAGCAGGAAAAGTATGATGTACAGGGGCAAGACACTACTAATTTGAGATGGCAAGCATATATTTTGAATTAAATAAAATTGAAAAATATGATTAAAAATTGCAGCTTGGCATTGTGGTGATGTCACAATAAATAATTGCTCATTACTTTATAAAACTTTTTCTTTTTATTAAAAATGAATGAGGGTGACATAGTCCAAGAAACATTGTCAAAAATGATATAGCTTATTTTCTTTCCAGTAGGTAGTTTATATTTCAATTCACAAAAATTTTTTTGAAAATGTTTCTTTAAATGTAGAGATTTTAACTTAAAAAATCTTAGTCATATATAATAGATCAAACATATAAATCTTTTTGTTCTTTCAAATTTCGAAAGCTTTATTTTCATTGAAAAATTCTTTGTGCAATAAATATATTGAATTAATAAATAACTTTACATGATCATTGTTCATTTACACAGTATTATATTTGAATATGTAAAAATATAAGTTAACTTACTTTTGGTATAACATCCAAATATTGTTTTGAATTGGATAATTGAGTCAAGAATCTAAATCTATTATCTTGTAAAACATATACTCCCTATAAATATTAAAAATATATTAAATATTTTATAAATTAAGATAACCTCAAAATTGATTTATAATGTAATACTTGATGATTCGTTCTAAGATTATCCACTTGTTTTTTGTAAACAGAAGACCAAAATTCTTTACACATAAATTTCATTGTATCTAATTCATCCTTAAATCTTGGCCAGTCCTTTGTTAACCTAAATTTTAAAAATATACTTAAATTTACTAATAATAATAATATTTTACATTAAATAAAAAATTAATTAATTTTAAAAATTCAATTTTAGTAGTTCATATTCTCTAAAAAAATAAAATTTATTAGTATATTTTAGTGTTTAAGATTACACTATCATAGAAGGAAAATTTGCTGCTAATTATATAAATCATTTGTTTCAAAACTAATATATTTCTCAAAATAAATAAAAATAATTAAGTAATTTGTCAATTTATCAATGTATTATAATAAATTCTATTTTGACTGAGAAAACAAGTTGTCGGTTTTTTCGACATCAAAAAAGTCTGATGCCAGAAAAAAACGTTGTTTCCAATGTTTAAATTATAACTGATTAAAAACACGAATACAAATCACATCAGTTTAATCACTCAAAGCAAATGTTTTCAGTCCTTTTTAAAGGCCATCATCAGACTGTTATGTGAAATCAAGGAATCATTTTAAATATAGTAGAATATGGAACACTGAACAAAATCATAATATACACAATTCAAAACTTGCAACTTTGTGAATGGTTGTAAAAGTTATAGTAATATTAAATAGATTTACATCAAAATAAATACTATGCAAATGCATAAATTACATTTGTCTAGGAATTTCATATATAGATCTCCAAGCTCCTCAATATAATATCCTAGTCTTTAAAGTTTATCAATTTTTCCCATTTTTTAGATTTCTAGTGCTTCCATATATTTAATTATTTTTGAGAAAGTAAATAAAAAAACAGCAGTGTATCTGCTGGATAAATACGCCCCAAGATGCATGTTCAGATTACACCTCCCTCTTAATGGTCTAAGGATTTCAGCATCCTCTCAATTCATAAAGACTGATTCATCCAAAGAAAACATCACTGAAGCAGGAGAAGGTATTTTCTTTCTAGCTGTATAATGATACAACCCAACTTTATAACATCTCCTATGAAATTATTAAAGCTCAAATGACAAGTAGAGCAGTGGAATGTACTGTACATTATCTTGACCATAAACAAGAAGAGACACATCAATGTAGCACATATCAGATACATCTCCCAATCCCTTAATCAGTGGTTCATGAAGTGTAAAGATGACATTAAAAGAGAGAACACTACAGTTTTGTTTTACTACATACAACTTCCGAGCATTGAGGTACATTGGCAGGAAGCCAAAATTATAAGAACCATCTCTCATCCCTCACACCAAAAGCATTATGGAAAGGTGTGAAATTTATAACCACTCTGTCATTAATATGTGCATAAACAGCAGGGACAAGGAATCCCTTCCTCCTACTTGGCAATATTTCCTAACTCTTTCATATCAACCACTGCCTTCATAGCCCACCTCCACTGCTTGTTTATTTTATTGGAATATAATAATAAAATATACATTTTATATTTACGAGACTGATTCCACTGTTGGTAGCATGTGCAGATGATGAAGTCAGCATGGTTTAATTTTCAGCAGTGGCATACATGTCTGGATCAACATCACTCATGAAACTATGAAAGATACCAAATATGAAGTCATCCATGCATTAGCAACAAAATAGATTGTTCCTTTTATGTATAAATAAAAATATAATTTTGTAATATTTTAATCATAAACTTGTTTGTAACAAAAAACTGCTTGTATTTTTGTCACGGCTATGTATCCACCAAATTTTAACAAATACGGTTGAAGAGGGACAGACAACCTGTCTGAAATGCATATTGTTGTCATAATAAGCCTGTGTTTGTCTACTTCTGTGTGATAACTCCAACACATCAATAGTGTGTGATAAGTCCCCCATACAACCAAAACTTAAGTGCTCATAGTTCCTTAGAAAAAAATACTATTAAAGACTAGTGAAAATGGATTAACCAGCATTAATACTTGAATATTCTATTTTTTCAATGTCTGTATAATAATATTCTTTCTTCTATGCATAATAACGAATGGTCAGATAGATTTATGACTTAAGAAAATTTAACTAGAATTTTTTTTACCTGAATTAGCCAAAAGGTTAGAAATCCTATGCTTCCAGATTATACCCCAGTCAAGATCAAAATCTTTCAAAACAATTCAAAAGATTGGAACATTCAAATGGAAATATTTGGTGAAAATTATTCATTATTATGATTTTGAATTTGAACTCTGGATTTATTAGTTTTTAACCATTCAAAGTACAAGTTTTATAAGTTTGAATTTGAATCTTCAAATAAAATATCACTTGCAATGGAATGACAGAAATTTGAATACCTGTCCCAGTGTATCAGTTGTGTGTTTAGTTGTGCATCTTGAAAAATTTTCACTGATGATGGCCTTAAAAATGTTTTGAGGTTAATATATTGCAACTGAAGATAAAGATTAGAGCTACTTTGGAAAAGGATGAGACTGCCGATGACTCACATTTTCACTTGGAATACTAGAGACACATTAGAAGAATTAGTTTAATGAATTGTAAAATAAGACTTTCCTCATACAATATATGTTACTGACTTTTGTGTCTTTTTAAACAGAAAATGAACAAAACACTCTTACACACGTTGTGACATGTAGAAAAGGCCCGGAGGGTAAAAAAATACAAATGAAGAAATGACAAATTAGAGCAAAGCAAAGCAATGATGGGCAAAGCAAAAGTGGTTTATGCTTTTATTGAAGTTTTATTTTAGTGAAAAATAAGTTATATGGAACATAGCTAGGGCCATGAGTTTATCAAATTGAAGGCCTCTAATTATAGCACCCTGTTCAGGTGCATAGCCTGAACATTTAGTAATTTGCCACTGCTATCATACATGCTTAATTTTTTAAAACTACATTTATTTATTTTTTCTGACTATATCTAAACAAATATTCATAATAGAAACATAACCAAATGATCGCCTTAAATAATTGGGCTATAACTATACTAATTTAATGATTAATACTAAGTAATTTGCTACTAGTGGTAGACATTAAGCACCATCTCTTAACTAAATTAATAATTATATTATTAATTTAGTTAAGAGTATTAATCATTAAATTAGCCGAGTTACAGCCTGATTATTTAAAGTGATCATTTGGTTATGTTTCTGTATACATATCAGACTTTGCAATGCTTGATATAAATATTCATAATAAAATTTACCTTTCAACAAGGCGATATCCTGTGCAAAATCCAATATTTTCTAATTTAGTTACTGCTGTTTCCTATGGAATAAAATCATAATTTTATAAAATAAAAATGATTTTTTAATATATTTATCAATTTATCAATGAAATTTCAGCTAAATAGAAATAAAATAATAACTGTAAAATAAATACAAATTATGTATTTTATTTATATTTTCTCTTCAAAATGTGCAGCATTGTGCAGTGTAACAAAGTTATTTTTTAATTACAATTATTAATGAAGAATTTAGAATGATGTATTTATAATTCAGAAATAAAATTTATTATCAAGCTGTAAAATAAATTTCATACCACATATTTTGATATGTATATAGCACCATTAATGCAGGGCCATGAGATAGGAGCTAGGAATTTTTCCTTGGCCTGTAGTGATTCGTACTCCTATAAAATTACAGTAGAGCATCGATTATCTGAAACAATTTGGGACTGGGGTTGTTCGGATAATCAATTTTTCGGATAACGAATTACATACAAAAAAATATGTTAACCTATCCCATGTTAAAATTCATTCAAATCCTGGCATGTTCTTAAGTACCCTCTCATGGTCATGCTAGTGCTGCCAGATAAAGCATGCACACCAACAAAAACAATATTGGCGTAGCCCAAGACATAGCCGCGTATTGCAGCACCATAGCACTAGCAGAAATTTAAATTTGTCAACTGGAGCCAATGTTTTGGTTGATTGATATTCAGATAATCGATGCTCTACTGTATTGTTGTTTTTTACTAACAGAAAATAAAATCTTTAAGACTGCTATTTGTTAACAAAGAAATATTCTACATACACTCATTGCCATAAAAATTAGTGCACCAAGAAGGAATTGTCATATCGCTGCCAAACTTGGCATGCAGATAAATCTCAAGCAGATAAGGAAATAATTAGAATTATAGCATAATGGCTCATTATGAAATGCCAGCAGAGGGCGTTAAATTGCATCCTCCTTGGCCTATAAAGCATGCAAAGGTATCCTTCTGTAGTTTACTTGCTGTATCACTAGAGATGCCTTCATGTCATAATCGAAGACCATATGAACAACTAATCGAGTTTGAAAGGAGAAGCAGGATGGTCATTTTGCCGAATAGCCCGTCACCCAGACCATTCTGACAACACTGCAAGGAAGTATTGGGACCAATGCACGAGAGAGAGCTCGCACACATGATGGCCAGGCTCAGGACATCCTCAGCAGACCACTAGCCGAGAGGACTGCCTGGTCTTACAACAAGCACACACAGTCAACCAATATGGTCGGTTGTTGTCCATCATCTGGACACAGGTGGTGCCATCATTATGGGCCCATGCCTGTCCACACTATTTCAAGGCTCTTGGGTTAGAACATTTGGTATCATGGTGGCTATTACATGTGGTGCCATTGACAGCCACCCATTGTTGCCTCCATTTGAAACGGTGTCACTCCCAACAGGATTGGACCACAGCAGAATGAAACCAGTTGTCTATAGCAACAAATCCAGATTTAGTTTGTGCACTGATGATGGCCATGTTAGTGTTTGGAAGACCTGTGGTAAACGTCTCAATCCTTCCTACACTTTGGAACAGCACACCACATCTACAGCTGGTGTGATGGTCTGGGGTGCCATCACATATGATAGTCACCTCTAGTAGTGATCCAAGGGACCATAACAGCCCAGTGGTATGTAAGTGACATCCTGCAGCCACATGTGTTGCCTCTCAAGGCAGGAATCATAAGAGCCATTTTCCAACAGGATAATACAGTAATACCTTGACTTACGCTACCCCAACTTATGTGATTTTCAAATCTCATCAATTCGTTTTTTGTTTGAACGCCACGCAACTCTTGATTACTCATTCCCCCCCACACTATTGTTCAGCTTACATGTTCGAACGTGTCATGCGGAATTGACACATAGCTACAATTCATTTTGTGTTATTATTTCTGTGTTTGTTATATCTACGGAGACTTGAGAGACTCTATGTGGTGATTTCTTGTAACCGTGAATGAATCAAAAGACAAGATAAGATTAACGAGAACATTTATTAGCTTACATACATCCAACTTGGATTTTGCACAAATTGCAAAATTATACCCTGACTTATGCGAATTTGACTTGCGCAGTTATTGCTCAGTCCCACCTATTAAGTTCGGGGTATTACTGTACTCAACCACACACAGCAAGGGTGTCACAAGACTGCCTGCACTACACTTCCCTGGCCTGCCCAATCCCCTGATTTATCACCAATTGAACATGTAATATCTTATTGAATATAATACCAATTGAACATGTAATATCCAATTTTTACTTTGTAATATCATCATTACAGTTGCATGTGTACAATTTTGTCTGGGATTGCCTGGGACAGGAATTTGGCCAAACTAGAGACCACTTGCAGCAACTATGAACTAAGATGCTGCAGACACCATACAGCACCTGTATGCTCCATGCCTTCTGTATCACATCATGTTTTCATGCTTGAGGTGACCCAACATGGTACTAGAACCTCTTTTCATTTGTAGTTTTTCCTGCAATAAATGATCTTTTTGTTTTTACTTTGTAATATCATCATTACAGTTGCATGTGTACAATTTTGTTTGGTTCTGACAACTCCTCCTTTGTGTGCTAATTTTAATGGCAATGAGTGTATTTTATTTGTTCAAAAAACAAAAGTCTCTACCACTGAGCCACATACAAGCTCTTGACAGCCCTGCACTCAGTGATGCACCCAGGGGGTGGGCTAAGGGGCCCTGGCATCCTCCAAAGTAAAAGGAAATAAAACACTACAATAGTAATAACAAACAAAACTTACTAATACACCTTATCTTGCAAGATAAGGTGTATTAGTAAGTTTTGTTTGTTATTACTACTATTGTAGTGTTTTATTTTACTTGCAAGATAAGGTGTATTAGTAAGTTTTGTTTGTTATTAACAGTATGCAGTTACAACAGTATGCTACTATTGTAGTTTGTTCTAAAACTACAATAGTAATAGTGAAACTAACACCTATATGCAAGGAGCAAATAACTAATGTTCTAACATTTTTGGGTACAATTTAGAGACCTTCATCAGAAAATAAAAGAAAAAGACAAAAAAACAGAGAATATTGTTACATTTAAAATAAAAATTCCAAATATTCAAAAAGATGTAATATGTGTTGTTATTGCAGAGTTGAAAGCATAAAAATATAAATAAATGAAAGGCTTTTACATTGCATGATATTAAATAATAAAGTTAAAACATTAAATTCTGGGTGAATCTATAAAATATTTCCATGCTTGTGGTACTATAATGCCATCAGAGTTAACGCAACATTCTTTCTTCTCAGCAATATAGACTTCTAAAGTTTCCAAAGATCGTAAGATCAAAGACTCTGTGTAAAAGTGTAGCTTCATCCCAGCAGGAGAAACGTGAGATTTGGTGGCAAAATAGGCAAGAGCTGTGTTGAAATTCCTCTTGGCCATGTCATATTTGTGGTTGCATATTCTACCTTGCAGGGAAATCCTATGTAAGGCAATTGTGTTAAATTAGAAAAAACAGTCTTACCTTCTTTCCTTCCTAATATTATCATATACAGAAGGTATGTCCAAACAGCCATTTCATCAGGCTATTTTTTAGCCAGCTGAAAAATAGTGCAGCAAAACAGCTAGTAATAAGATTTTGCCAAAAAGAGTTCAACACACTTTCAATATCATTTTATTATCAATGGAGGCATTTTCAGAAAAAATGTTTCAGACAAAATTTTATATATAAAAAACATATTTACATACATTTCCAGCACTTCTTTACAGTTCTAACAAACATTTTTGGCTTGATTTACAGGCCTTCTTCAGGTTAGAAACATTCTAATTGGAAGGAGTTATGTTGTGTTCCAAAATGGAACACTTCAAAGTTTCTTTGAGGTTATTTAAAGTTCTTATGTTGTCACTTAAGATTTATAAAATTCAATAAAATTATTTATTGAAAATATAAAATAACCTATAATAAATATTAACCCCAAGGAGATGATTAATANTCAGTTAACTATTGTAAAAACTAAATTTCTGTCTTATTTAAATACAAATTTTTTTAATGTAAAAATTGCTTCAATTTATTTCACGATTCATAATCACAAATGTAAAAACATAGTTAACTGAATTTTGGACCACCCGTTAAAATCTATAAGAATAAATTTATAAACGTTCGAAGATTATTGATCTTTATGTGAGTGATGACTGCTTGATATTATATTTAAACCTTTCGTTAACTTTTGATCACTATGTAGGTTTTTTCTCCTTTCTTAAACAGCTTAGACAATTGGAAGTGTTTTATCTATTCCCAAATTAAGTGTAGCCCATAGGGTTATGAACTTTGAGGTGTATGACGTCTATAAAATTGGTGTCGGATGATTTTAGCGATCAAACTGTCGATCATGGAAGAACTCTTTTTCTCAACGCACACACACACAGGAACACCATTGTATAGTATTATAGTTGTTATCCATGTCGTATTGCAGGCAAGAAGTCCCCGCAGTGAAAGCTCAATTTTGAAAGTCGGTTGACACTTTTTGGCAAAGGTACATGACAGTCTGACAGCAATGGGCGGACAATACGGACACGGCGCACGCCGTGTGGTCTTTGTATAAAAGCACATCCTCTGACACATGTCTATCACATGTCGAATGTGGAGCGACAACAATGGTGGATCTATTTCTAGAGTCACGTGCATCTATTTTTAGTATTCCGTGGGAAAATTTATTGTTTTTTTTTTCTTTTTTTTTAGATCGTTTCGTACATTTTTTTACATTAGAATTGTACATTTTTAGGTCTTTAACTCTGTGTCAATTAGGTGTTAATCAGTTACTAAATCTTGGTTTAACTGTGACGGATGATAAGTTAAAAAATAGTAGAGAAGATTTATGTATCCCCTTCGTCCATACAGCTGTACGCTGTTTACCAGGTGTGTCGTTGATACTAAAGATGACTATCTGCAGATACAGTACCTAGTTTAAGCTCACGACGATGAGACATTTGGGACATTTCGATTTATATTATAAGACCTCCCATCGTTACACGACTGCGACAGATGGCTTTTTAAAGGCTTGAGCCTTCCTATTCTATAAAAGCCAACTAGACTGCTAGTATGAATGAATGTTATCGTTTCTACTGATAATATCGACAATTGTATGTGTGCAGACCGTCTTTCTATTTGTTATTCATCTTTTGTTCGTTTCGAATAGTAAAGTGCTATCCTGGATGCAATGATTCATCAACTATCTCCCTAGCAAAATAGGATGATTCTCGAAGTCAAAATGTAATTGTGAAGTAAATTTAAGGCTTATTTTATATTAAAAATCGATTTTTTCTCACCGAGGAGTAGTTCTTTTTTATAACAGAAAGTGTCAGAATTGTGTAGGATATATATACTGTATATATAAATGCATTGTGTAGAGCTATAACGATCAAGATGCTCCTATTTGGAAGACTATCAAAAAATATCTAATTATAAATAGTAAAAATACTAAACAAGATATTTGATATTACAGATCATATGTTTTAATAACAATACTGATTATAGTTATTTAAAAATTTGTTTTGTCAGTACATAGACTCAAATAATTTAGTTGTAAAACATTAATTGATAATATTAACTACAGCAATCAGAAAAAATAATGCATTGCACTACATACATACAATACAGAGTATTACAAACTTTGTCTACCATTATGATTAGGATATAAAATCTCATATCATACAAAATAACTTGAAACATTTAAAAAACCAGAAAATATTTTAATTGTAGAAAGGTTAATGTTTTCAAACCATTTTTAATTCTATTATCAGATCTGCTTGATATAAATAATATTCGATTAGAATGTTAAATTTATACATTTATTTTAAATTTAAAGAACATAAATTACATAAGAGAGAATTTGGAAGAATGCATTCTAGTATAAAGTTAATACAGAAAATAGCAAATAAATAAATAACTGCAAAAAATTTGAACATTTATAAACAGAGGAGATTTGATGTAATTCAATTATATTTCAAATTTTTAAAGTTATCAAAATGTATTAAAATCATAGTTCTGTTTTAGCATAGGTCAACTCCACATGAAATCAGATTAAATCAACCACTAAGAAGAATATAGGAGTCAAATCTTTTATTAGTTAAACATGTTTTGGGACTTCTCTGTCCCATCACCATACCAAAAAGTTTAAATCATAAATTTTAATGAGAACATCCTTATATTTTCCATTGAGTGTTCTGGAGGAATTCAGAAGTGTTAATAGTTTTTCATAATCATAGTTTTATATCTGTAGATGGAAAAATGTAATAATCAAAACAGTAGGCCTACAACATATAAAAACTATACCATACATTGTTTAGATTATCATCAGTATCTTTATGAGCTATTGTATCATTAATGATGATTCCTTACTTAAATAGTATATACTCTGTGCATGGAAGTATTGTATATTACTAGGGTTACCATATGTCCGTGTTTAGTACAGACAGTCCATACTTTAAAGGCTCTGTCCGTGTTCGTACTATACTTAGAAAAAATAACAAAATGTCTGTACTTTCCAACCAATAACACAGTTAATAGTTAAATCATAACCATTTAGATTTAAATCTGACAAAAGGTGCTTAAATATTTGATAATTATTATTGTATTTGTTGGTTAAATGGCTACATTGTATAATCAAATGTAACAGCTCTGTTGCTTAGAGAACATGCACACATTCATTATAATGGTTTTTTAATTCGATAGTACTTGTTGTCTAAGTGATAAAATAGTTTTCTTTCATTTAAAATTGCATTCTGTGTCCCAAGGTAAATTGTAAATTGAAACTTTATATTATATGCCTCCATTTACTAGACTAGATTGAAAAACATGAATAAATTCCCTTTATTTTGCCATCCAAGTACTTTTAATGCTAATCTGTCCATATTTTGCCTTCAACTGTTACAGTAACCCTAATATTACATTCTAGAGACAATTCAAGTATTATGTCAGCAGTTTATGGGGAACAGAATTTGTTTGTATCTGGCAATTGCTAGCAATGATGGAGGGAGAGCAAGTCTTTGATGATGCAAGACTGAACCATAATTTATTTTTCTCTGCAGTCATCACTATCTAAAAAGAATTTGTATATTTGCAAATGAACGCAGATGAACACATAACCACTAAATAAAATTTAATGATGAGATTGGCCAAGTGTCTGAATGAATACAATAAATGATTTGTGTTCGAATTACTACTTGCAAATGGTTTAACTTCTGATCACATAATTGGGCACTAACTTGATTTCTGATGATCGGTGAGGGAAGGGAAATCAAAATAAGGCAAATTTTTGCTGATTAACATTTGGTTGACCCTTGCAGAATATTTTAAAAGGGAGGAATTAACTACATTATGAAAAATTTTTTTAATTTTTATAATATAGGATATAAGATTTTCTTATTTTTTAAAGACTCCACAAACTGAGGGGGTCTTTGCTACACAGTGTCACAAAGCATACTTAATGAATGGATCTTATTGGAAACGAATGGCATCATTTGGAAGCTTTAAAAGCTATACACGCAGAACAGAAATCATATTTATGCATAAATCTTAGTTTTAAGTTTATACATATTAGCAGCAAGTTTCGAAACTAGCGAGCCGATTTTAAACGAACTAGATAAGAAAACAATTAAACGTGCTTTTCGAAGCTTAATTTACAGCGAATTAAATACATATCAAATTAAAAACAAATCCCTTCTAATTCGTACTTAAAACATGCCGTAATCTTACATATACACTTTCCGATAAAAACTTGCCAGCTGACTCACTTTTTCGTCCTTCTCAGTAGTTCTGAATATAGTAGACGTTATTTCCAGATGAAGCAAATCGAAAACTACATCATCTGCCATAGTTATGGTCATTTTACTACGACTGCCACTACTCTAACATAACGCCTTCATACGCAACCTGGCATATGGCCGACTTTCGTCACTTGCCAACTTAACTATTCAATCAACTAGCCAAAATAACGCCACCTACATATGGCGCATTTTTCAAATTTTTTTAGATAAAAACCGGATTTAAGTAATTTTTAACACCATCTACTAAAAGCAGAATTAGATTTATAACTTTCAAAAATCACACACAAATATTTTATTTTAAATTTTTTATTTGTAAAAAACGAACACGAATTAAATACAACAAATAATAAATATACTACAGTAAATGGAATGAGCAAATGAGTTTATAAACATGAACATTAGTTTAATCAACTTCTTCCATTCGAGATGCATCTTCTTCGTCACCTTCTAATGGAGGCATTTCTTCTACTGCTGCGTCACCTGCACCGCCGATCTCTTCATCGTCTATTCCCAATCCTAATTTAATCATACGGAAGATGCGTGATGCGTGAGTTTGGGGATCTTCGAGTGTGAAACCTGAACACAACATTGAAGTTTCGAAAAGTAGCATAACCAGATCCTTAAAAAAAATAATTTGTTTTAGTATGATGCAATCTTTAAAGTGAGGATAGGAAAAATCATTAATAGAAATAAAAGTTACCTTAACAGATTTGTCATTTTTATCAGCATCGGCCTTTTGTCTTAAAGTATCAACAATTGGATGATCGGGGTTTATTTCTAGGTGCTTCTTAGCTGACATGTAACCCATAGTGCTGGTGTCACGTAGAGCCTGAGCCTTCATAATCCTCTCCATATTTGCAGTCCAACCAAACTGACTTGTAACAATGCAGCATGGAGATGTGACTAGCCTGTTTGAAACAACAACCTAAAATGGAAAAAAGAAGTTAAGTAAAAACAGTATATTTAGAATTCTTAAAAAAACTGAGGAAAAACAAAATTTACCTTTTCAACTTTCTTATCTAGAATATCCTTTATGACTTTGCATAAATTCTCATATTTGGCTTTATCTTCCTCCCTTTTCTTTTTTTCTTCTTCATCCTCTGGTAATTCTAATCCTTCTTTGGTTACTGAGGTAAGTTGTTTTCCATCATATTCTTTTAGTTGTTGGACACAGTATTCATCAATAGGTTCAATCATATATACAACTTCAAAACCACGTTTCCTAACCCTTTCTACAAATGCAGAATTAGCTACATGTTCTTTAGATTCTCCTGTAATGAAGTATATGTGTTTTTGATTCTCTTTCATTCGTGATACATAGTCTTTTAGGGAACACATCTCATCACCAGAAGCAGAGGTATAGTATCTTAAGTATTCAGCCAGTTTCTTCCTGTTTTGGGAATCTTCATGAATTCCAAGCTGAAAAAGAAAAGAAATTTTAGAAAAACAATTTATGTAATTAAAAAACAAAATAAAGTAACTTATTGTAACATACCTTCAAATTTTTGCTGAACTGTTCATAAAATTTCTTGTACATTTCTTTGTCTTCTGCAATTTCATCAAAAACTTCTAGACACTTCTTCACAAGATTCTTTCTGATAACCTTCAAGATTTTGTTCTGTTGTAACATTTCTCTGGAAATGTTCAGTGGCAGATCTTCTGAATCAACTACTCCTTTCATAAAATTCAAATACTCTGGCATTAGATCTTCACAATTGTCCATAATGAAGACTCTCCTAACATATAATTTAATGTTATTCTTTTGCTTTCTGTTTTCGAACAGATCAAATGGAGCTCTCTTTGGCACAAACAACAATGCTCTGAATTCTAATTGTCCTTCTACAGAAAAGTGTTTAACAGCTAAGTGGTCCTCCCAATCATTAGTCAGACTTTTGTAGAATTCACCATACTCCTCCTTGCTAATGTCATCTGGGTTTCTCATCCATATTGGTTTAGTTTTATTCAATTCTTCATCCTCAGTATATTTTTCCTAAAAGGAGGAAAGTTTGTTAAAGCCAAGCTGTAAATAAATTGGCATTTTATGTGGAAATGTTTAAAAAGCTAGTTAAGTTTTTACAAACCTTAATTTTCTTTTTTTTCTTCTTATCTTTGTCTTTATCCTCTGCCTCATCTTCTCCTACATCTTCAATCTTTGGCTCTTCCTTCTCTTCTTCAGGTTCTTCAGTTTCAGCTTTTTCCTCTTCATCATCTGATACTTCTTTCTCTCTCTCTTTTTGGACAAGTAACTTAATTGGATAACCAATGAACTGGCTGTGTTTCTTAACCACTTCTTTAATTCTCTTCTCTTCCAAATACTCAGTCTGATCTTCTTTCAGATGCAAAACAATCTTTGTTCCACGACCAAGTGGTTCACCTGTACGGAACATTGAACATCCATTTTAGCACTGAAGTCTTGGGAACAAAGTAAAGCAAAGGAATTCACAAAATACCACTCACCATGATCTGATCTAACAGTGAATGATCCACCAGCAGAAGATTCCCATGTATACTGTTCATCATCATTATGGCGTGTGGTTACAGTTACTTTATCAGCAACAAGGTAGGCAGAATAAAAACCAACACCAAACTGACCGATCATAGATATATCAGCACCAGCCTATGAAAAAGAAAAAACAAGAATTAAAATCCAAGAACATGCAAATAAAGACTTCTTCAAAAGTGATTTCCAAATTATTATTAGTTCTTACTTGTAATGCTTCCATGAAAGCTTTAGTGCCAGATTTGGCAATTGTACCCAGATTGTTGATCAAATCTGCTTTTGTCATTCCAATACCAGTATCAATAATAGTAAGGCTACGTTCGTCTTTATTTGGAACAATTTTGATGTAAAGATCTTTTCCACTTTCCAAACGTGAAGGATCTGTAAGACTTTCATATCTGATCTTATCCAACGCCTGTAAATAGAAACGAAATGCCATTTAGATAAAAATATATATATATTCACTTAAATATTAATAAATGTATGTAGGCTTACGTACATCAGAAGCATTTGAGATCAATTCTCGAAGGAAGATTTCTTTGTTCGAATAGAAAGTGTTAATGATTAAACTCATCAACTGAGCGATCTCCGCCTGAAAAGCGAAGGTTTCAACGTCTTCTTCCATCATATTAACTTCGGCAGGCATCTGAAAACCACACACAAACTCGTTATTACCATTACTTCACAAAGTAATTGAAGATTCCAGAGTATTCTTTATGGAAAACTTACCTTTGTAGACACGATTTAATTCAGCGAGTTACTCCACTGATTTGAATACTGCAACGCCGGTTTTGCTTTTTATTAACGGCGGGTATCACTACGCGAAAATAGTTCTTGTCGCTGATCGTAGCGAATTTGCAAATCCTTTGACAAACTTAAAAATAATTTTTTACTTTAACGTATTTATAAATAATAATTTTATTAAAATTAAATAAATTTTCTCGAATTAGTAAAGTTACGGCAGCATTCGCCGTGCACTACATTAAAGGAAGTTGTATAATACAACGGTGATAAAGCTAAGTTGAGAAGCTTCTAGAAGTTTCCCGAATTTTCCGGATAACACGTGATCAACTGTGTTTCCGGTTCCGTTTATGGATTGCTTCGTATGCTTGATAATTAAACACGTGTTTTTATCAGAACATACGCTGTGAATAAGCGATAAGACGACTGAAGATGAAACTATAAAATTAAATGACTTAACTAATATGATACACGAAATATATAATGAATATAATTATATTTTAAATTATATTTCCGTATATATTTATTAAATTTACGCTATTGTATATTCCTTATATTATTTTTAAACGTGTAATTCCGATCAGTAATGAGTACGAAGGGTAAGAATAGTGTACTGTATATATATATAAATACATCTCCAAATAACTGACCTATATGGAGAAAGAATTCCTTTAACACACGTGTAAATTCACAAAACATTGGGATGAGTCTAACAATTCAAGGACATTTAAGTTATATTTTGTCTGAAATTGTTTAAATTGAGGTAAAAATGTTAAATTAATTTAAGTAATATTAACGTATATTTTTATAGATATATTAAAACAAAATATTCTTTCATTTACAGTTATTTGCAATTTAAATTAAACGACCAATTCGATTAAAAATGAGAGAATTTTCGATAATTAGCAAATGACTAGCGTTTAAGTTTTGATAGTCATTATAATATCGACAAAATGAATCGGTAGAATCATTTATAAATGAAAATCGAAATTAAGGTTGATGTAATTTAATGTTTTGAGTTTATAAATGTACATTTCATGTAAATAATTTCAATTTACGAGTGTACAGAGAAAAATAATGCAATTTGCTATATTAAAAAAACATTTTGAAATAAAACAATGATTTTAGATATAAAGTTTCGATAATTAAGAACAATATTCTGGAATCTTAAACAACATTAAAACCACGTTGAAATCCACCACACGAAGACTAACATTCCTTTCAGTTGATAAGCGCCCTCTGGCTATTAAAAATAAAAGTACTATAATCGATAAATTTTCATTTTTTTAAAATTTTAGTTTACGATAATGATGAGAAAATAAGATTGAGTAAATCTAAAATAATAAAATAAGCAAAAGAAAAAAAATTGGAATGCATTATTTTTTTAAATTAAAATTACTATNACATTGCAATTATGTTCTTATATACATAAAGTTCTTGAATAGTAAGAATATCAATTTTCCTGTTTGTTGCTTGATAGAAGGCATCAGTCGTCGCTGCCTTGCATTTCTGCAAATTGACCTGCAGTAACCTCAAATTATTTGTTTTTGGATTACACCCCATAATTGGTCTGGCATATTGTCAGTTCCTTCATTCTGATAGTGATAGGGCACTGTGGGTTGAGGGCATTTTTATTTTTTTTTTTTTTTAATGAAAGGGGCGGAAGACCAGGACTACTCATGGGTATCGCCTGGGTGAAAAGAAAAAGGGAGAAGGGGTAATGGATAAGGGGGGTAGAAGTGTGATAGGAAAGATGGTGAAGATGAGAGAAATCGTCAGCGCGAACAACGCAGTAATATAAATAGGTGGATACATGTGCGGTATGCAAAAAGAAAGAGTGTACACGTAATAATGGCGCGTTACATATGAAAGAAAAGCTTTGTGGTTATAGAATAAATATAAATACCGGAGTTGAAAATGGTGATAGTTACAAACAGG